TATTGCAGTTTCATTTCATCTATTCTGGGTTTCATCTCCCTCCAGCTACCATTTTCTGATCTTCACAGAGTCTCCCTGAAAGTGAATTGTTTATTTATTTCCTTTTTTTTTAAAGTTTTGTCAACCACCTCATTTAATCTATATTATACAGACGATACAACCTACCAAATGGTTGATGTTGACTTGTAGGAAATATGTTCCAAAATTTATGGCTACCCTTGCTCATTTGAGATGAGGTTTATTGCAAGACTGCTTCAGTAGTATAATTCTATTTTAACTTGCAGGCAATACTTCAGGAAGAAGAAAGACTGAACCAGGCAAGAGCCTGCCCTCACACCTGGATGGTACCTGCTACCTCTGTTTGTGGTAACCAGCTGTATGGTCTGTTAGTGTGGAATGTCATTCAGATATGATGATTCCTGTTTGGTCTGAACCCTTCTACAACATTCTTACTTACTCAAGTTTCTCCCCTTCTTTTAGTGGGGTAATAGGAGAACCCTTACTTACCCAGTCCAAAGCTGCTGGGGAGATCAATATGGAGAATTCCCTACTTGGTTGTTATAATCCCACTTGTATGAGACTAAGTAGATGAATCCTTCAATAGAAAGTAGGGCTATGCACTACACTATGAACCAAACCATTCTCAGTGGTTAGGGCCAGCTGAATGGTAGTTATGTTCTTCTCAGAATGCAGTTATGGGATATTTTCTTCCTGCACCTGGTTATTTTAGTATGAATTTCATATAAAGTTTTCTCTAATATAGTACAACCTACGTTTTTGCCCAAGTAAAACTACACACTGATGCTTAGTGGACTGCTTGAGAGATAATGGCTGGTTGAGCAATCTTGCCTTCCACCTAGCTATGCAACATTTTAGGATCACATAGAATATGATTTTCACAATATCCTTTGCACTATCACTTTTATTGGATGAAGAGTATTCCCTACATGAAAAGGTTGTGGTATCCCACTGAGTGATACCTCATAGGCTACCCCCACCTCTTAGTGGATAACAAACTCTATGAGCTTTCCCTTTCTGATGTTATGGTTTTGAAAAGAAGCTCATCTTTCTAATTTCTTTATCTCCACCAGCCACTCCACCATATTATCAACATAGAATTCTTGATCTTTGTTGTACAGAGAAATGAGTATAAATTTTGAAGTTAACATTTTCCTTTCCTGAAAATGTATTTAAAATAGATACTCACTTCTACATAACCTCCCCCACTTTTGGTGTATTTCTTTTGCCTCATCAAAAATAAACCCTTTTCCCATTGCTAATACCCATGGAAACTGCTGTGCATAGAAGATATGTTGCCCTCCTATTGGAGGAGAAATATAGGATAATGATGATTACCTCACAGGCTGGCACAATACATGTTAATATGTATAGGGGTGAGAGCTTTGTTCAAGGCTTGTGGCATGTACAAAAGTTCCACCACAGTGGTGCACTTTGTTGTGCATTGAGGTGAGTATCTGTAAGAAACACATTTTCAGGTAAGGAAAATTTTAGCTTTTATTAGTTGTGTTTGAAACCTCTGCAGTGTTTAAATCATGGATGTAAATGTCTGCCATTCTTCTATGCACACATTACTGTAGGTACAGGAAGAGTTGTATGTGATTTGCTGAGATAGTTAATGGTTTTATTCTTGCCTCTTACAATTAATACATATTTCTTTTATTTGCTTGATGTCTATCAAAACAAATTAGTTCTGGAACATTTTGGAGACCTTGTTTATTCATTGATTTTCATGTTCTATATAAAAAACTTTCAGTGAAGAACACAAGTTTTCCTTGTATTTCTGTGACATTAGGTGTTTCTTTCTTGGTCAGTTTAGCAGAGCAGCTATTAGTGTATAAATGTGTTTTTTTTAAGCTCACTTTAATTTGATAGGTTTTCTTAATCAGCAGATTTAGACATTTTTTTCAGACATGCATAATTATACTTTACTTTCTCAGGGTGTTTTAATAAGTAATTGGGATATATTTCTCTATCTCTATATCATTTGTTTTTAAACACTGATGAATGAGGTAGATAGCCAGATCTGACTAAGACACCAAAAAAGGACAAGATTATTCAAAATTGTTAATTTTAGAAAGGGGAATAGAGATCTTCAAGAAAAGACAGAAACAAGATAAGTAGCTTAAAGTGAAAATGCAATTGCAAAAAAAGTAAACAAACACGCTTAAGGTTTGAGACTTAGTTTTGACATTATTTTCTCAAGCTACAGTTACAGCTTTTAGACATCGAGTCAAAACAGGGATTTGTAGCTTAAGGTAATAATGTCAACACTATGTCTCAAACCTTAAGCTTGTTTGTTTACTTTTTTTCGCAATTGCATTTTCACATTAAGCTATCTATCTTGTTTTTGTATTTTTTAAAGCTTCCTATTCTCCCCCCTTTTTAAATTAACAATTTTAATACTCTTGTTTCTTTAGTTTTTTTTTATGTCCATCATGGACATAAATCTTATTATAATTGAGATTTTCGATGTCTAAAACTTGGATCTTGGAAACTACAGCACCGATCATCACCAATTATAACTGGGTAATATTTTCATAAGTAGGTAGTATTTTTATAGTTGAGCAATAAATAAAACAATTGAAATTTCCACAAAAATGATATGTTTCAGATTTAACCAATAGAAATTACAAAAAATGAGTAAGTTTCAAATATAAAACAATCCAAAACTAATTTAGAAACATTATTGTTTTTTTTAGTGAAAATCTCATGAGTGTTGCAATATAAAAACAAGGCACTTTCATTGATAACTGTGTCTACAAAGAAATACTTCAATAAAATCTACTCTGTGATGTAATGCCGTGATGATAGCTCATTTTTAAACTAGAATTTCAATAAAATCCTTTTTCTCATGGATGGTGAACATTACTATATGTCAAGTAGGAGTACATTGTTGTAGAACTGTCAGAAAGTGCCACAGGCCCAATAGCCTTTTGCAGGAACTAACAGTTATACCTGCCCGGAGCACGGGAATTTCTGCTAGTTTGTATAAAGGTAATACTGTTCTATTTGAAACAATTTAGATTAATAAAAAACGTAGTTGGTGTATGATGCTGTCTCGGTAAACAATGACAGCCTTTGGATTTGCTTCATGCTGATTGGAAGACTGTTGCTCCTGATATCATTGCCACAATGTTGTTATTGACAATGGTTCTGCATGTATGATCACTAGGATGTATAGTGATCAACACACCACATTATGTATATGCTTGTAAAATATATATAACTACTGTATTTATATCCTGCAGCTATATAGGGAGTCTGTAAGCACTGGATTGGAGGGACTACTGAACTATACTGGAATGGTGCATAGACTGGATTAGTTGATAAAGAATATCCCAAGAGTTGATGGTGTTGAAAATTAGGAACAGATAGTTCAGTAATTTTAGATGTAATTCAACAAATAAACAAAGATCATCTTTGGGTGAAAAATTCTTGCATATAAATCTAGAAGAAAAGATCACTAAACAGTGTTGGTTTTTACAGCAAGCATGACATATGAAACTGGAGTGGTTGACTATGAAGATTTTCCACAAACTGAAGAACCCGTCTGGCTTTTGGGAAAAAAATATAGTACACTATATGGTAAGTTGATTATTTTTAAAGTTGAATACCGATTATTTTTAAAGTTGAATACAAAGCTGCATGATATCAAACATTTGTTAACGTAAGTTTAAAATATCGTGGTTTGTTTTAACCCTCTCAGGTGTTAAGTGCACACCTGCATATCAAATTTGATAATTTAAGTAAATATAATAATTTAAATCTCTACTTCAACAGTTTTTTAACTGAAGAATATGTTTGATTTGGTATTGTGACACTTTCAAACGTTTAGTTAGTTAAATTCCCAAAGGAAAATGGAAACAAATTTTTAACTTACATTTATGCATAGCCTTGCCTGTAAAAAGCACAGTTAATCTTTTCTTTCTGGAATTCTTATGCTCATCCCAAAGCATAGGTTTATCTCTATTATGAAACTGTTGTTTTCTCTGTGTTGATTTTCTTTATCTTTCTCTGATTTTATTAGTACAACCTGTTTTTCCCACCTTTTTGTCATCTTGCAGTTTAAATATCATTTGATAGAGCAGATTATAAGCTACTTATGCCATTTTAGAGTGGATAATATGGTGTGGGAAAGTGATTAGATGTAGCTCCTGCAGAGAAGGTCAACAGGATCTAGAGGGAAGAAGACTTGAAATACCACAAATCTGGGATGTTTTTAGATTTTCTTTTCTTTCCTGAAAATCCTTTAATCCTAGTTAACTTTAGAGAGTACAGTAAGTGATGGTGTAATATTTTTGATGACCTAAATTCTTATTTATTGAATATTATTGTGAAGTTTATCATATTTAAACAATGCACATGCATAAAAGAACCTATAATTTATTGAAAGTGATCTATATCCATTAGATAAAATTTATCTTGACCAAGAACATTATGAATCACGATAGTGGTTCATAATAGGCATCCCGAGAATTGCACAAAACCCTAATAGAACATTCTGGCAAAAAGCACCTTAAAGAGTAAAGATTCAGTTCAAACAATGCTTTAAAACTTTTATTATTGACTGCTAAGGCTGTACACATAAAAATGCACAAAAAAAGCATGCATGTTAGACTTACAAGGAAAAGGAAATCTGCCCAAAATGACCTGTTTATAATTCTTCATCTTATTCTCTTGCCAGTCTACAACAAAAACAGCTTGATATATTACATAGAAACCTTCTGTAGAATACTGAATAAGGTACTGCAAAGGTTGTAGGAGTATTAAAAAGTCAATTTGTTTCTTCTATATTTTACATAAGCTAAAAAGCATCATAATTCTAGTGTAACTGATGTTATCATTACCTCTTGAAGTTAGCTTTCTAACAATTATCTGGTGTTCCTTTAAAAAGCTTAAGAACAAGGCGAGACAGAAATTACCAGCCAATAATAGATGAACATTAGATGAGTGTAACATGTAGATACTCAATGTTTTGTACACTATACAATCGGTGTTTTTAGGGAATCAACCCCTATATTATGTACGAAGTGAAGTGTTAAAAAATCAACACACATAATATTAAATTTTATTCCAAAAATTCATAGAATAATTACTTTAAAAGATACAAAGGTTTTTTTAAAGTGATGTTTTAGATGTATACGTTTTATTTGAAAAGGCTGCTTTTCTACTGGTAAAATTTTATACGTGCTTAGTGGCATTTGTGTTTTAGACTAGGTCAGTGGTTGGCAACCTATGACCTATTGCAATGATTTGGCTGACCCTCCAAAAGATGGCTTCATCATTGCAACCCATGAGGGCAGAATCATTGCTCAGTTCAAATTTCTCGGTTATGTGAGAAGAACAAAGATATTAAAGAAAAGAGGGGAAAGAGTCACGGCTACATATAATTTTTAGATCAGTTTTAGGGAAGATATTCAAGCTGGTTGAACTATTAATTTTGTTTGTTGTATGTAAATGAACAGACACATTTAATTACGGGTTCCAATATTAAGAATTGTATGACTATCACTGACCCAACACAATGCTACATTTAAAAATGTATAATTGACCCACGATCAAAAAAAGTTGCCAACCGCTGGTCTAGGCATATGTTTGCCCATTGCTATGCTTTATATATAGAGAATTTACTTACACAAAAACTATAAATGCTCAGTATATTCTCGAACAAATCTCCATAACAATCTCTAGCTGCAGCTTAACAAAAACTATAAATGCTCGGTATATTCTTGAACAAATCTCCATAACAATCTCTAGCTGCAGCTTAACATTTTACACCTCGAACTAATGCGATCAAATACTCAATAGCTACAGTAAATCACCAAGAACTATATCAGCTAGCTACTAGCTATATTTATTATCATTATAGTGTATAA